GCACTTTCTTAGGCATGGCACTAAAATGCCTCTGGCACTTTTTTAGGCTGGCACTTTTGTGCCTATGGCACGGGCATTGCCATAGGCATTAGTGCCCGGCATGGTGCCTAATGTGCCTGGCATGGGCACATGCAGGACTCTAGTAAAGAGCGCTTTAGATTGTTCCTCAATGTATTGCAGGATCATGTCGAAGATAAATACTTTTGGATTTGGATTTTTGATCAACATGATGTTTTATATGAATATGGAGTCGTTAATGAGTACGTACCCATTTTTGTTAGTGAAAAGCCTACCGGTCAAATTGAATTACAGTTGCCTCGTTATTGTTTCTGCATCTGAAGATTATTCAAATGAATTCAATTCATGGCAAACATTCGAAATTTTTGATGGCTACGATGATGGCGAGTTCGAGGAATGGTGCAAATTGTGTGGCTATTATCATAATCTAGATATAAAGCCATATTTAGATGAATTAAGATATTTAACTAATTCTATTCCTTTAGAGCTAGATAAATGGCATAGAACAAGAGGAAATAATTTGCGAGATAAGATCTCAAGATATAGAAAAAGTCGAAGATCTGAAATAGCACGGCAACACCAAAAATTTCGAAAAAATTTAGACTCTGAAGAATTAAAAAAATCTTAATTATTGTGTTGCTACTATGGCCCTTAAAGCCATTATTACAAGTTACATAGATTATGGTCTAAATCGGCAATTTATGTATAAAATAAAAATCAATAATACCAAGTTCGAGACATATGTTGCTATTCATCCCATTGCCGAACAAGCTATCAAAAATTCTCATAGTAGTGATCAGCATTTCAAAAATGAACTGGAAAGAGTTGCATCAACTATTTTTGAGGGCAGCTATTCAAATGATGTTAAAGGAAGGCTTGCGGAAACATACATTACAACGATTTTAGAGATTGATAAACGAGTGCAATTCAAGATCACGTAAGTAATGGTAACTTAATTATATTATTGCCAATTTTAAACATATTACCATGATTTTTTTTTTAATCAAATTTAGGGGTAAACAAAAAACTCAAAACCCTGTGTATAATTTAAAAAGACAATTACAAACTGTCGTTAAATTTCTTGGTAACAGTTTACCATTCGAGAATGTTGATCTCAGTAAAACTACATTTTTCCTTCCGTTATCCCCTAATTATCCAGGTGTGAATTTTCTTATCTGGGATCATGAAAAGAAACTACTATTTGCTTTTCAGATTACTATCGGTAATCTTAAAGACCATTATGAAAGCAGAAATAAATTTACGGCAAATCGAAGTGATTCTTTGGTAAATAAATGGGCAGAATTGTGTAAAATAAAAAAAATTAAGGTTATATTTGTTTGGTTTGCACCTGAAAATTTTCGTGATAGGGATAATGAAAAAGATTCTTTATATTTGTCTATAATTCAATAAAACCATATCAAATTTTTTGCTAAATCAAAATCAAAAATGGATCTATGTGATATTATCTCTTGGGTTGGGTTGCTTGTTCATGTTTTTGGCCTTCTTCGGTATCAGCAATTGCTTCGAGACACTTAATATAGCACTCTAATTTCCGTTCAAGAAGTTCTAGAACACACTCCTTTAAGAATCCTTAAAGTACTTATGGTCAGAGGATTTGTGCGACATATTTTAAAATGTTGCAAGAATGAACCCCAGTTCTCAGGCGAAGATCAACAAGGAACCTACTCTTTCAAAAAAATCACCTTGACTAAAAAAAACTTTCGATGAGGTTACATGAGATGATCTATACTACAATTTTCCACTTTATTTTCGAGGAAATGATTTCAAAATTAAAATCGTACAGTATGGACAGTAAAATTCACATGATACGACTAAAAACCACACGTGATTCGCAACTGTGCCATACACAAAACCGGTCTGTTCGAGTCGAACGAGTCGGCTTGGGTTCGGTTCAAGTATGCAGAACACCATTGGTAAACTTATATATGTAGATCATACATATGACCAATAAAACCAATTTACTAAATTAATAATTTCACTGCCGCTACGTAAGTATAGCCTGAATGGTCAGTATTGTGAGTTCTTACAACGACTGACCTGTAGTAATAGCGATAGTTGTTGGTCCTATAAAATAAATATGTCTAATTCAATACCACCACCGCCACCACCACCTCCTCCCCCTTTAATCAAAGAACCTACTTCAACTCAACATTCTCAGGAATTAACAAAGCCAGACCAGCCTAATGCTGTTTTTTCCGACATACAAACACCTCAAGAATTGACTGCATTTGTATGTTTTTATTCCCTCTGTTTTTCTATTGAATAATTTATAATAAACTTAATTTTCAACTAGTTAATTTATATTATTTTTGTTTACAATAGGTTGAGACCATGCTCCGACAACTGGTATTTATAAAGAGAACGGGTATATAATTTGTTTTTGACGAATTACTAATATATAACGTTATTTGGGATATTAATTAAGCAAACAAAATTTGATGATTTGTCCACGCAATTGGTTAATAAAAGTATGAAATTTAATTTATTAAATATTATTATTATTTTATGCTAGCTTTAATACATTACTGACTTTTATTATGTCTCAAGTGGAAGATATGGATTCACGAATAGATGTACTTCAAAAATCTCTTGAAACTTTAATGCAACAGGCTGCTACCGATAATATTATAGTTGATGACCTGAAGAAGTAGATGATCAAAAATAACAATCAACCTTATACATATATTTGTGAATTTAAATTACTTTTTATTATTTTCGTGTAGTAGTAAAAAAAAAAAAAAAAAAATAGTAAACATTAACATCTAATTAGTATTTTAGAATCAGTGATTTTATGGCATTAGTTCTTTTTTTATATTAAAACAAATGTAGGTAAGTTATTTCATTAATAGAATGAAAAATTTTTTATATAAGGTGAAAAATAGGTTTCTGATTGAAGATGATTTTTGAAAATAGTGCCATTATTAAAAACTTTGTATTTCGAACAATATGAGGTTTATCAGATTTATCATGTGATATAAACTACTAGTTTATATACTCAATTTATTTAATACAAGATTATAAAGTTGTGAATTGTTAAATGTCTCCATCAAGTGTTTTTTGATAGTACGTGTGTAGTTTTACAATTCGTAGCGGTTTGAATTAATGTACGTACGTACGTACATATATACGTCAGTTTAAATATGTGATTCGTTTGATTTAAGTTCGGAAGAGTCATCATTTCATATCAATTAATGTATAATAATTGACGTTAGCAATTCAGCAATTTTGTTGTGATTGTCGCTTAATTTCTATGTTTCTGACCGTTCCATTATTCATGGAGTTAAGCAGACTATAAAAACCGGCTCGTGTCTCAGCTTCGACGAATATAACTGGATAAAACGATTGGTAGAAGCAAGCCATGTGACCTGGTTTTTGTTATTTCTATTCACATGAGACTTTGTAATATGTAAGGTATTATGACGAAGTTAAGCATTATAGCTAATAATTTATTATACATCAAAGTAATTCTGGTACCATTCAATTCGTCTCAATAAAACGAATCGAACGGTATTGAAATATCATTCGAATTTGCTAGATCATGAGATACCTTCAGAAAAAAATAGGCATATTATGGTCGACTCGCTAGATATTGTAATTTCTACCAAAATTATTCAACTCCAATCATTGGGTCGCCGATATCACAATTCCTACTTCATCGTCTCCCTTATTATATTTTGCACCCATAGAATCCACGTGATTCTTTTAATAATAATTTTAGGCAGAGGTTTTGTCAATGGGTTGAGTCGGGTTAATCCAATCTTCAACCCGTTCATTAAATTAAACCTTGCTTCAGATTCTATTCCAGGTTGATCTAAATTTATAAACATTAAACTTATTCCACTGTGGGTTGAGGTCAACCTGGAGTGACACCGGAGTATGACAACTCTAGGCAGAGTGAAACTCTGTGCTGATTTTTATTATCAATGCGGACGATACTCGCGTTTTTGCTATCTTTTGATCAGATCTATACTTAATATTATTTAGGGCCTTGTTGTATAATTTTCTTTTTTACTAATTAAATATTCGTAACAGATTCGGGTAGTTTATAAACTTCAATAGGTTTAATCACAGATCACTCATGACTAGAGAGGCTGGTACCAGTTTCATCAATAGTTTTTTAAATTTGAATGCTTTACTAAGTTTTTTATGAAAAAATAACTAAATGAAAATTGAAAATGAAGTATACATGATGGATTGTTCAGTGGCCATTTTACAATCCGTCAAGCAAATATCTAAGAAAGTTAAAAGTATTAAATAATAACTAATAAAATTGGTACCCTTACGCAGCATGTAAAATGTAAAATAAAAGTTAATGCTCACAGTGAGGGTCGAACTCACGACCTTGGCGTTTCAATAATTTAATATTAGCACCACGCTCTAACCAACTGAGCTATGCGAGCTTGTGTTTGTTGAGAAAGAATTTTTTTAAATTCTAAGATATTAATTGCTTTTAATTAATATCAAAATCAATAATAGCGATACCTACCAACAAAAGGAATTTCTAATATGATAAAAATTGATTATGTATTCAATAATCAATGATATTTATACGTAACTCATGGGGTGTGACGTCCTCAACAAAAAAAATTATTAATTGAGAGTGACCCTCAATGACATGTAACTAAAAGACCATTTGTTTAAGGAATTTTATCCGTTAATGGTAGTAGTGGTTAAAGAATTGTGACCCAAACGTACTATTTGGGATTAGGTAGGATCTCAAATATATTACGTAGATACTAGGTTTCGAAATAAGTCTCTAATCTGCCGTATTGTCAAACACATAACATTTAATTTATATTATTACAAAATTTTACACAAAAATTTGGTTTGGAGCTCGATGCAAGTTGCAAATTAATTTTTCACTGCTGAATATAGCTCTAAACCGTAAACTTAGGGTTGTTGTTTTCTTAAAGAAAGGTGATGTTTATTTATTTAAAAGATCGATACGAAAAGATAGAAGTTTTGTCGAACTCATGTAGCGAATCTATTTCATGATTGAAATTTTCCCGAGTTGAAATTAGCTTTTTATGCATACACCATTTCGATAATAACGTATTAATGACGTTTTTCAATAAAGCGTGAAAAGTTCAATGTTTACGATTGGCAATTTATAGTGAAATTTATTCTGGATAATACGGGTTTATACCGGATCAGATTTTGTTATAGGCAGTAGTTAACTTTAGCGTTAGCGTTAGTAATTACTGCGTAAGGATTGATTTTTTTAAACGGTCCTTTATTATCGTAATTTAAACTTCTTGTTAAGTTCATTAAATGAAATGAAATGAAAGGTTTAGTTATGAAAAACAAAGTGACAAATTTAGCTCAATGCCGGTCTATATAAAATTTTTTTAATATGGGGGTGAGTCAATAGAAATCAAGCAAATTGTTTTTATTGAATTTTTTTAAAACTTTATATACCAATAATTTA